GGGGGAGTTGTGTTTTTTATTTTTGTTTTTTGTGGGGGGGGGGGGGGGGGGGAAAGCTGAATTTACGTATAGGTCGATTCGTTGCCTTTTGCATTCAGACATTTCTCGGGTGCTTGGGCAAGCTTCTCACGATCCAGGTAGTCGAAAAGGAGCCTTTCCATTGTAGGAATTGAATAACGATGGTAAAAAAAATATTGTTATTAACAGTAATACTGCCCATTAAGTAATACGATGTTCACCCCTTTGTTTTTAATCCGGTAACTAATAACTCAGGTATGTTTCCGGCTTCTAAAGAAATAAAAGCGAAGCCAAAAAAAAAAAAAAGTTAGGAAACAAAGGGATCCACGGTGAATATTCAAAGCACCCATGCATCTAATCCCTGATTATTACTCGGCGGCTCTGAAGCAGAGCCTTTATTAAAACTACAGAGGGAAAGCACGATCGGCAGGGCACAAGCTGGCAAATAGGTAACTCGGAGCTGCAAGCTCCGGAGGAGAGTTTTTACCTGTAAAACCCCCTGGCCGAGGTGATAGCCGGGCTCCAGCAATCTGGACCCGTCCTCCCCCCCCTTCTCCCTCCCTCTATCCCCCCCCCAAGCCGTGACTCACGGGGGAATGTCACCATTTCACATCCAATCCCAGCCGGTTGCATTTTCCTTCAGCAAAAGTAAAGGACGCGGCCGCTTTGCCTCGGGGGCGGCCACCGTTAACTTTGCCTTTTTTTTTTTTTTTTTCGGAATTTGGGGACTGAAAGGAGGGGGGTGGGGGGTGTCACCCCGGCCCAACCCTCTTCGGAAAGGCCGGCAGCGAAAGTCACTTCTGCTCCACCCGGGTTTGTGTCATCCGTGACGGGGGATTTCAAAATACTCCCGAATATTTGGGAGGGGAAAAAAAAATAAATAGAAGAAGAATAGTCGTGCTGCTCCTCGTACGGTGGCTGTGTGGATACCGTCGTTGCTCGGGCTCTTAAAAAACGCCCAGGGGGGGAAAAAAAAAAAAAAAAAAAGTATGTGCATTTTTATAGGGAGATAAATTGACAATTTATTGTGTATAACTTCTGATCAATTATTAATCGTTAGTGTCAACAACAGGGTTATAATTACCTTCAGTTATTTAAAGGAATATTTATTTTTTCTTCTCTCTGATCTGGTAATTAGTTAATGCTCTGGAGTAATGAATTCAAAGCTGATTTGATAATGATTGAGACAGTTTCCCCCCCCCCCCTTTTTGGGGGCCCCCCCCCGCGGGGAGGGGGGGGGGGGGGGGAGAAGGGAGGTGTCTCCCCCTGTTTGCAAAAGAGTCCGTGTAAAAGCAAATCTCGGCGCGTTTCACTTTTCAGACCATAAATAACGATTCTGGGAGGAAAAGGGCGAAATGACAAACAAATAGAGCGCAGCTGGGATGAATAAGGCCGATCAAAGTTAGCGGGGGCCGACGCTTCCCACAGCCGCAGCAGGTCTGAGTCCCATAAAGGTGCCAGCAACTCTTACCTCTCTCCTCGAGATCAAGGGAGAGGGCGAGCAGGACATTTTAACCCCCTGACATCTTTTCGCGAGCGGTGGAGAGGGGAGAAAAAAAAAAGAGAAAAAAAAAAGGAATAAGAAGAAGAGGGGAAGGAGGGAGCCGAGGATTTCTTGTTTGGGAGAGTTCTCAATGCCTTCACCATGGCCCCAGGGAAGGGGTGCTTT